CCGCTCGAGCATCAGACACAATAAGTGACACCTTTCAAGTGACCATAAACACAGCTCGAGTGCACAATGACCGCTCCCAAAAGCTTAGACATGTAAAAGACAGCTCGAGCGCAAGAAATACCGCTCGAGCAAAGATACTCTATTTCTAGAAGTTTTGCAGACTATAAAAGACTGCTCCAGCGCAAGAAAGATCGCTCGATTGAACAAGAAGAAAACTGGACAACAACTCTTCGAAGAAACTAACCCCCAACCTGTTCCAAACACAATAATAACTCCTAAACAACCAAACTCAACTAGCAACAAGATGAAAATGGAATGAACATAGTTAAGGACATGGATTCCCTTATTCAAGAGCAAGAAATAGGTCAGGTCTAAACTAGAATCATTATAGTTACACATCACAACATTGACTTCGGCCGCAGCAAGCGTGGTGAAAATGTAATCTCTCCAACCGAGAGTGAAACTGCACTAAGTATTAAAGAAATTAATAGTCAGAAAGAAATTCAAAAAAGGTAACAAGAAATATGCAAAACTTTATATAGCGATGATCTATTAAAATTTTGACACAAAGATAGAAGTATAGCTAAATTAGACCTAATCGACCCTAATAAAATAATCAAAGTAAAAATAAATGGAATATACTTCTAATGATATAGAAGAATTCAAAAAAAAGATAGAAAAACACAAACGAAAGGGATTAATTAGAGATAGTAAAGTTCACATAGTAGTCTAGCATTTAAGATTAGAAACCATGCTGAAATTAAAAGAGGAAAAGCTATAATGGTAATAAATTACAAAAAAATTAAATAATAATAGTAAAAGATATGGTTATTTTATTCCAAATAAGCAAGTTTTTTTTAACATAATACAGGGTGCCTTCTGATTCTCCAAAATAGACTGTAAAAGTGGATACTAGCAAATGAAAATGAATAAAGAAAATATTCTACTAACAACCTTTAATGTGCCACAATAACATTATGTATGGCTTGTTATGCTATTTGGATTAGAAAATGCACCTCAAATATTTCAAAGAATAATGGATAGTATCTTTAAGGAACTAAATAATATTTGTTTTGTATATATAGATGATATTTTAATTTTCTCTAAATCCATAGAACAACATAGAATAGATATCAAAATAGTAATAGAAGAATGTGAAGAATATGGAACAGTATTATGTGAAAAGAAATGTATATATGCACAAAAGAAAATAGAATTTTTAGGACTTGAAATCAATGCAGGATCAACAAAAATACAAAGTCATGTTCTTGAAAAAAAATTAATAAATTTCCTAATAAAAACTATTAGAGAGATTTTTAGAATGTTTAACTTATGCCTCAGATTTTATAAAAGACTTAGTTAAAATAAGAAATCATTTACAAAAGAAACTAGAAAATGATGAGAGTTGGACTTCGAACTCAGCCGACTCTGCATTAGTAAAATTTAAATAATTAAAAAATTAAAAAAAAAAGTGTAAAGATTTGCCTATCCTAACACTTTCTAATAAAAATGATAAGCTAGTACTAGAAACCGATGCAAATAACAATCATTGGAGCACAGTATTGAAAATAAAAGAAAATAATTAACTATATCGGTATTGTAGTGGAAGTTTTAATCAAGCTAAATATAATTATCCTCCCATGAAAAAAAAATTATTAGTCATGATAGAAAAGTTCTTAATATTTTTGGCGCCAAAACTGTTTTTAATAAGAATTGATTGCAAAGACCTACTAAGTTTCATAAATAATAATTTGTCTAACATGTAGGCACAAGAGAGGCTCTTACAATGGCAACTCTGGTTAAAACCATTTACCTTTAATATAGAACATATTAATGGAATAAAAATAGTTTAGCAGATACTCTAACTTGAGAACTTGCAGATGGCTTCCACGTCCACAAGACTCACACTGTCAGAGAAGGAAACACTCAGGAAGTGCTGGACTTGGTGACACAAGACAACGTTGAAATTATCAAAAAAAATGCAGGCAGTAGTAAAGAGTTGTTCCATGAACGAGCTCATCAGGACCACCCATTTAGTTGCCAAAACCTTTTTACGATTAGAAGTATTATATTTGTTTCTTCAACTCCCTTATGATATCCAAAATAAAATAAGATAATGTACTTTGTTAGATTATTTCTGAAATGGTATAAAAAAAAGTTTCACCTATCTGGGAACTCAGTGGTGCAACTTTAACGAACAGATAGTCTTGTACAATTACAGAATGTTAAATGTTTCATTCGATCCAAATAAGGTCATCAACCCAAAAGATTCTCTGGTTCAAATGTGGAAATTGAGAATAGTCACTACATTCGACGTTCCACCTCACCCACTGAGTACCATGTTGTCTCAAACTCACCAGATTCCAACAATTCATATTCAAGAGAATTTATGAAGTCTGCAAAGAATATCCAAGTATGACACCCATTAAATTTATAACTACATAAACGGAGGTAAAAGATAAACATCTAAATGCAACTCATTATCTAAAAAAAATAAAAGACAAGAATGACATGATCCCCTACAAATGTGATTGGTTCAAAGATTGTGAAGCATCTTGTATAATAGATCCAACAAAGGATTTTTCATAATATCTCATGAAACTACAGAATTAGCAAGGGTTGGATTTAAATTAGTTCATTATAGAATGACCACTTTTGCAGTAACACCATCCTTGGCGGAAAAAATAATTGTTCTAGGATTGCTTTATGAATCAGTATATGATTACTTGGAACAGGTAGATTTCAAAACATATTTATCTAAAAGATGATGTAAATTTTTGAAAAAATATCTGATGGAGCAAGATATAGAAGAATGGGATGAAATGATTGAAGAACATGATGAGAATTATAATCTTAGTGATGTCATGGGTGATGAGGGGATATGGAATTTAGATAATGCAATGGATTTACAAAACCATGGGCAATTTAGCAAAACCATGGGGTGTCGTTTGTTCAGAAATAATACGTGATCATCATGTGACCACATCACTTGCTTGCTTGTCTTTTATTTGTCTTCTAGCAACAATAAAATATAATATGTAAAATATTTTATGTTTATAGATTAGGTTGAAGTCCAAACTTGAAATCCACAAGGTGCCTATATAAAGGCCTTAAGGGAAAGAAAAAGGGGACACAGATTACTTGAGTATACTTAAAACTAAGAAAGTAGTCTGGTTCTCAAGCCTTCTTAGAATAAATAATACTTTAGCAATCTAACAGTTTACAAACATTCATTTCTTTGCAAATTTTTGTTCAATAAATAAAATAAAAAAATTCATTTCCAGAAAAAAGTGTGTGACTACTGTATATCAAGTTATTGATCTTAGGTCTCCTATATAATCAAAGAAACAGCTTCTGAAGTTATGATCTGAGGTAGGAAACAAAACAAATCTGTGATGAGCCTAATCTAAGGAATGAAAGTTTGAGGTTATCCACCTCTATACAACATCAAAGCCCTACACCGACAACGTTCGGGTAACAGTCAAAATCTTTAGATACTGTTCTTGTTTTGAAAGTACAGTGGACTTAAAATTATAAGAAGTAATAAGTTTTTCTTTTTATAAGTTTTTATCTTTACTTTTATATTCAAGATCTGTTACTAGATCGTAATCAATTACTAGTACTAATCGTAAACTATCAATAACGTCATCATTTTTTACAAAATCTACTAAATACTAATACTGCTAAAGATATATAATTTACTAAAAGAAAGAGTTGATACAACATCTCAAGAAATCGTATATTATCAACAATAACTAAGTTTAGTGTCCTAAAATAATAAAAATAAATAAATAATTTGCACACCAAAGCCACATCATTTGGGCAAAATTGGACCATATATTTCTTGGACTACCTAGCATCATTGTTACGTTTGTAGGCAATGTTGCCTCACAGTAGTCTATAGTAAATATTAGGGGAAATTATAAATAAATAAATCAAAAATCAACTATTATAACAACATAAATCTTAAATTTTTTATTTTATCAATTTAAATTCTAATTTTTTAATTTATTTTTAATTTAAATCATTTGTTTATATTCGTTAAGTAAAAACCGATGAAAAAAACATTTTAACTATTAAACTCAATATAAATATACATAAAATGTCTAAAATTTCATTTTTCATGGAGTTTAATAGCTAAAATGTCCCCTTTTTTTATCAATTTTACTTAATAAAAATAGACAAATAGTTTCGATTGAAAATAAATCAAAAGATTAAGAACTTAAATTGACAAATTTAAATTCATGATTATTTTGTTACATGGGTCAAACCCTTTTTTATTATTATTATAATTAATGATCATATTATGCAATGATATTATTAATCAATTCAAAATTTCACATAGCAAAAACATATAATTAAATTAGTAAAAATTATAAATAAAAAAAATGTCTCATTTATTTATTAATTTGTGACATAGCTCATGGGTCAATGGAAGACGTCAAAAATATTAAAAATTAATGGACATGAAATTTCAGGTGCTTCTGGTTAAATATTCCTCATTAAGTTCCCCATAACTCTGCTCTTGTGCCTTTCCTCGTATTAGCTGTGATGCTCTTCAATTGCAAGACTTCCTCTTCTGTCCACATTTCATTAACAATTGCAAGTGGCAGCATCAAAAGTTAAACCCAGGATAACTTATCCCAAGCAGAACATTTTAAATCATTTTTGCAACAAAAATGTCATCCAAGAATTAACCCTGTCCCATCACCATAACAAAACAATCTCACGTACGCATGATAAAATGACTCAAGATTCTAGTGATCCTAACACGTCTCATGCAGTTGGTTAAGGTTAAGTTTATTTTTCTTGCCTTCAATTAGGACAGATGAGGGACAGAAAGTGAAATTGGCGTGTATAATGTTTTGCCTCCAAGGAGTGAGGGCATAATCCAGTATGTATTATGTTAACCTAACCACAATCAAATATGAAGAGAGGGGGAAGGTTGGTATCACTCGCTCACAGGTCTCAAAATGTGTTATCCCCAAATAAGTTGTCCATTCCTGAAACAAAATAATCAAGCATATGCAAAATAAAAGGGTCTCTGGGACAAGTTATCTGGGTCACAAAATTTGAACCAAACGCGGGATAGGTTACTAACTAGATTGCAAACCATAACTAACAACCCGATAAACACTGCAATTGACATGTTTTTTTTTTTTTTTTGGGTTGCATACTGAGCAACTTGCTCGCTAAACAGTCATCATTTGATGTTTCCACGCAATTGCTGTGCTGGAAGAAATGGTTGTGATCATAACATACAACAAATGGCAAAACAAGATGTGCATCATGGTTGATTAACTGATGCCCACAAGTGCATAATTGTGACAAACAAATAAGCAGACCCTAAAACACATACAAGATGGGTTGTCCATGCAGCGACCACACATTTCCAAAAGTAGATTGCTCAAGCAACTCGGGATGCCAAGATACCTGCGTGGAGAAAGAAAAGAGGTTGGATGTATAAGCATATCTTTTATTTGTCTATTTAATTTGAGAACAAATGTAATGTAACTCAAGGGAATATAGTGAAAGGGCATGAAAGATCGATGATAGCTTGACACCGAGTTATCAAAATTTGTATGGTTAAACGATTTGGGTTGCATTCGTACTTATAGATTTCAAACGAATGATTTGCATCACTTGTTCAAAGGGTATAACATTTAATTCAAATTAGTATTTTAGATGTACATTTCAAGACTAGATTCGAGTGTTTTCAATTAATGAATTTGAAATAGCTTGTTAAGGATAGTTATTTGAAATCCTTACATGAATGATTTCTACTAGAAAAAAATAATAATAACAAAATGCATCTCTCCTATCTCTATGTTATCCTATACTTTAAAATTAGGGTAAATTATACCGTCTTCTCTTAAGATTTGGAGAAAATATAAACAGTCTCATAGTTTTGACATAATTACACAGACATCCCTTTTAATAAGGCTAAATGAACCAGAACTAATGCATATGGTGTAAAAAATATACATTTCAGAAAAAGATGACTATCATTTTTCCATCAACTAACAAATTGATGTAAAAATAGGACTAAGGGCTTGTTTGGCATCTACTGTATAAGTTAAAAAGTCAAAAAGTTACTCCAAAATCCAAAAAGATATTACTATTCATCAAAAAAAAAAAATTAAAAAATCAATTTTTTTCAACAAAAGTACACACGGAATTGATGACCCGTAGCTGCTGTGTGGCAGTGGGGAAAACAAGAAATGATTGAGTGTGCTTTTTACACACACCGTTGTTCGTTTCATGGGGGCTATCACAGGTCTCATTTTGACAATCTGAACCGTTCAATGTGTAGAAATCGTCAGGTACTATATATTTGCAAAAAATCACATTGATCAGATATCGATAACTATATGATCAAGTCAGTTATGTACAACTAATGGATGGTGTTATAATTTATGATTGAAAAATAAATAAATCTGATCAGATAGCTATCGATATCCGATTAACGTGATTTTTTATAGGTACATAGTGTTCGACACATTACACACATTGAACGGTTCAGATTATTAAAATGGGACCCGTTATGACCCCCACGGGCCAAACAAAACCGTCTAGTACAATGCCCAAAAATTAGCCAATAATTTCCTACTCCAATTCACACACGCAGGTTGTACGGCTGGGCGCACTTCTCTCTAATCTTCTGTTACACATTTTTTTTATACAATTTTTTAATACACATTTTTCCATAAAAAGTCAAAAAGTTAACCCAAACCTCCATATTTTTTTTTCAACTTTTTTAGTCCAAAAAGACAAAAAGTGCACTTTTTTAGGACACCCCAAACCAGCCCTAAGTGTTATGTGAATTAAAACCTTAAAGGAGCCCAAGGAAATTAAATCAAACTTTGTGAGGCAATAATAAAATTGTATTTTCTCCAAACCACAGTGGAAGTCAATGTAATTTACCCTTAAAATTATCTATCTATATCCAATAATTAACTTTCCTACAATTTTACAAAATTGAATCTCAAATCTCCTCAGTTCAAATATACTTATCCATGACCCATTTGGGGAGTTGGCTTTTTATCCAAAAAGCTAAAATCCAAAAAGCTAAAAAGCCATTATAAGTTGTCATATCACTCTCTACTTTTCTGCACATCTTTTCATGAAAAGTCAAAAAACCAACTAAAATAACCAATTTCTAAACAGGGCATGCACAGTATCTATGATCTAATTGCTTCAAAATTGTTGTACTCACCTAAAACTACCAGAGCAGCAATTATTGCTGATATCAATTGCACGGAATACCGACTAACTTGAACAAAATAAGGGAATCTTCGATATCTCGCCCTAAATTCGCCAAGCCAGGGACAGGAGTGCACAACACTTGCAAATAACTCTGAATACAATCCTCTAAAACGGCTGTATTGAGAAGTTAAGCTCATTTGTCTACAATTACCCTGTCAAACAAAATCATAGTTATAAGATTCTAAAGCATATGAATCACAAAATATAGATTAATTGATCATATTCATGTTCTTTAAAGTGAACTAGGGTGTTACATTCAGAATATCCTGCAAACAAATCAGATGCAAAACAGTGTCTCCCCTCCTTCATGCAAATCATAACAAGCAATCCACTTCACACATTGTTTTAATTATTTATTTTATATATATAGGGCTTCAACCTATTATGCAATTCCTGTATATATTAGATCTGCTGCAAGATGGTATTTAGAACCACCAAACACCTTCCTCATAATCTGACAAACAAAAGTAATTAACCTAATACCCAAATAAAAGGTTTACCTTAACATATGAGAGCTTAAAAAGTTTAAGAAACTAGCTCAAGAGGAACACTAGATCCAATTCATGTGGAGTCAATACAAGGGATCCAAGGAGAATTTGTTGATCCAGAGGATTGAATTTCCATTGTCTGGGAAAATGAAGAGTTAAACTATTGGGTAAAGCTAGAGGATGCAAACATTAACCAATGGTAAGGAATTGTTGGAATCTTTTCAAGGTTAGGGCTGATTTCAAATAGTAAAGATCGGTTTAAAGCAACCTCCTTAAATTCAAATCAAGGTCAATATTGAATTTAAGCATTTTAGTTGCAGGAATTATGTAACCAATTAGCAATTCTACCAACTACAAATGAAGTGGAGCCAAACAAACTCAGATCAAATCCTAAACACATAGACAAACCGATTTTATTCAGAAATTTGTACTTTCCACATGTATATAGACTTGAAACCTTGAGCTTTGGGGCTTTAAAAAAAAAAAAACTAGGGAAGAAGGATTAGGGAAACTGAAAGGGTAATATAAATTTATTAACCCCAAAAACATCCTGGATCCTCTACTACAGCCAGTTTATGTAAGATTTTAGTATTACTTGGCCCCAGTGGTGGCGCCACATTTTGAAGAGGGTATTCAATCAATTATTGTTTTTTAATGTCGGTAACATATATTTGAAGTTCAGCTCATAATTTGAACATTCATACCACCAGGTTTGAATACCCAGTTAGCCCACTGCTCACAGTCCATTGTCCACACAATCCACAACAACAAAAAAATAAAAATAAAAATAAAAAAATAAAAATAATAATAATGAAGAAGAAAAGAAGTGAAAAGTGAAATAGAGAATTTGCTGCCAGGTCTCTCTCTACAGCTAATTCTTTGTGAATGTTGTTCAACATAAACTAAAACTTATAATCCTATATCAGATTAGGATTTGGGGTTGGTAGGTACTGTATTATTTGAAATAGAGGTTTTCCCAATTTGAACTTCTGTAATTGCTACTTTGAATTTGGAGTATAAATCATAATACTTATTCTAGGTGCAATTTTTTGTTAATGTTTTAGTTCACATATTTGTAAGTACATCTTACTCTTGTAACTGTATTTTTCCATCATTTATTTAGATCACCTTTTTTTCTTTTTTTCTTTTTTTAATTTTTATTTTTATTTTTTATTTTTTATTTTTTTGAGATTTTCAGGTGCATCTTACTCTTTTATTTCTCTTATTTGTTATTTTGTATAATTGTTCAGTTTTGATAGTCTATTTGTCATGTTTAGTATCACAATTTTTATTTATTTATCTTATTTTTATTTTTTTGGATTTGCACTAGAGGGTCTGGATCAAAACCCGACTAATCCCCGGGGGTACACAGGCCCTCAGCAAGAGTCTCTCGCAAGTGTATCATGGTTAATTCAACAGTTTTCCCATAATCCGATGGCCCCAAAGAATTGTTAGTCCTGAGAGATTTCGATCCCTAAACCTTGGAGGTAGCACACCCCCAAGGCCTTGCCACTAGGCCAACCCCTTAGGGTTTTGTTTAGTATCATATTGACTTTATTTATTTATTTGTCAGTTCTAGAATTATGGACAAAATTTTGAAAAGAAAATCAACTACAGTACAAAATTCATTTCCTCTTCGAGAAACTTGTAGTGATAGCCACTTTTAAGATACTTCTAAGTGAAGTCGTGGTGAAAGTCAACTACAGTTTATGAAGCACAGATCCCCTAAAAGAAAGTAAACTGCCTATTAGCTTATAAACTAATATCTAACTCATAAATAATGGTTTCTCACAATTTTTTAGCATAGTATTAAAAATTATATATTTTTTTTCAACATATCCTAACTGTAACCGTATCCATATTGTATCGCATTCGTATCCCGTAACCATATCCACGGTTCATAAACTATGGTACAAGATTCATCTCCTCCAAAAAAACTTGTGGTGATAGCCATTTTCAAGATTCTTCAAGTGAAGTCATGTTGACTTGAACATCTGAAAGAAATTGGTCTCTTTTATGTGATTTTTCTAATACAGCTGGTAGAATTTACATTTCTTAAGGGGTTGTTTGGTAACGTTACGCTTACAGTTTTTGGTTTATGTTTCCAAAAATTTTAAAAACTGCCATATAAACATGTTTGGTAAAAACTTTTGTTTATAAATTATTGTAATCAGTTTATAAATTTGAGCAAATCCTGTAAACAGAAAAAGCTGGTTACAGGAGTTTATAAACACTGAATGGGCCCAAAAAGGGCAAAAAAAATGCGGAGACATGCGAAGGAACAGTACTCACAAAATGTTGCAGGGTTCGAATCTTATGAGGAGCAATATAACTTAAACGAAAACAAAACAACCCTTAATTACAACAGTAATCTAATCTCTTCATCATATCATATATTCAGCCTGCCTGTCGTCTACCTCCATTATCGATCTGTCAGTAGTCTTTGTTTATTGACACAGATCACAGATTGTTCAAAGAGAAAGGGTCACTGATATTTGTATACACATATGATATATGTATATATGTAGGAAGAAAGGACAGTGTATTAACCTATGTGTCAGGTGGGTTTGCAATAAAGGTACTTGGATTCAACGAACATGACTTATTTAATCAATGTAATTATGAAAAATGAAGTAAACCATAAGCATGGTCATTGTGACATTACTCTTTTCGTAAGTATAATTAATCAAAACATATACAAACATTTTAGGCCTTACAGAACTTTCTTTTTTTTTTTTAAAACATTTTGTTCAAACCAAATGTGTTTGTATTTTTTTATTTTTCAGAAAATAAACAAAAACCTGTTTATAATTTTTTGTAAAAAATAAACTAAAAAATGTTACCAAAAATGCCACCATAATGACTACCCTACTAAAATTCATGAAGCCACCACTGCTTGGCCCCTCAACATACTAATATGGGAACTACTTGAAGTCAAAGAAAAATCATGCCCACTAAAACAAATCCCAATCTATAAAAAGATTATCTGCCTTTCCTAAACAAATAACAGCCCTCTATCTTAATTGCACCAAGAAATTGGTGCCAAAACATAACCATAGTATAAAAAATACAGGAAAAATGCAAGTCATATCCATGTAAAATTTTAGAGTCATTTAGAGCACCATACAATATCTGAGAAATAGACATGTAACGTTTTTTTTATTTCTGAAAATGCCCACAAGAGCAGTTTGTTTTTTTTGAAAATAAATAAAATAAACCTCAATTGCCTTTATTGTAAATTTCATAGCACACATGAAGAGGGTCAATACAATCGGTGCAAGGCCCATACTAGGCCGAGCCCATCTAGCCCCACGGATGTGGGCCAAATTCTGATTAGAGTCATTTAGAGCACCATACAATATCTGAGAAATAGACATGTAACGTTTTTTTTATTTCTGAAAATGCCCACAAGAGCAGTTTGTTTTTTTTGAAAATAAATAAAATAAACCTCAATTGCCTTTATTGTAAATTTCATACGCTGCTCACCCCTAGTCAATACAATCGGTGCAAGGCCCATACTAGGCCGAGCCCATCTAGCCCCACAGATGTGGGCCAAATTCTGATGAAACCATGGATGTGGGCCAAACAAGAGCGTGGGCCGAACGAACAAGTTGTGCCAAACCTAGTCTATTGTAGACACTAGGGCCAAGCTGATAGGTGGCTAGGCCCAATTACATCAGTCAAGGTTGGCTGCTTGTCGGAGATGTCGGGTTGGACCGAACATCGTTCAGGATGAACATACGAAGCAGATCAAACCCAGTAACGTCATTATTTGGACCAAGCTGAGCAAAGAAGCGGCCCAAGACCAAACATTATGGACCAAAACTTTGCTTGTGTACCAAAAGGGCTCCAGAGCCGAACAAACCATTAGTTAGGGCCAGGCAAGGCCAACTGGGAGGCTCCGGCCTTGGACTCAATTCAAAGTTGCACAAGGAAATATACATCATTATGATCCCCATGTATTGAGCAAAACGGCTAGGAAAGAATATTGTGTTGCAAAGATAAGGATCATTCGCATGGGCATGCATGCCTAACCTATTCATAGTCCCCAGTGTTATTAAAGGCAATAGGCGCCCTAAGGCACCAAGGTCTCTTGAGGCCTAGGCACAAGGCGAGGCGCATGCTTTACTAAAGTGAGGCACGCTTTTTACGTAAAAAAATATATAATTTAATATAAACAAATAATTTAACGTCCCACATTAGCAAATGAAATATTAAACTTATAAAAATATAAATACCAACAAACACTACTATTTTAACATTATTTCAAAGTTTAACACAAAACATGAATAAGAAGAGGGGTCAAGAAGAACAAGAAGAGAGGGAAAAAAACTTATCAGTCCAAAGAAGGATGAAAAAGAGAAGGAGACTAGAGAATAAGCATAAGAAGATGGAAGAAGAAGAAGAAGAAGAAAAAGAAGAAGAAGATCACAACCATGTGAAGAAGAAGATAGCAACGTAGAGAAGAGAAGTAGAGAATATAACAACGTAGAGAAGAAGAAGAAGAAGAGAAGGGAATGAGAGAGCAACGTAAGAGAAGAAGAAGATAGCAACATGAAGAAGAATTTTTGGAGCTGTTGGACTAGATAACGAAGGTAGGTTGCCACAAAGAGTTCTTCGGAGATTAGGAATTAGGAGTAAATTTTCTTTTATCGTTGATTTGG